GATTCTTATGTATTATCTGCTACGAATGTAAATATTGGAATTATAGTACGTACAGTATGTTGTTTCGATTGTAATTTACTATAATTGCCACTGTACATGACATGCACGCAGAGGATCGCAAGAAGGTACCCAGCAATGGCAGCACCAATAGATAGCACACTTTCCTAATTGGATTTGTCTATAGAACAGAATCACTCCATTCCAGGTTTAAGACATCAGTTAAAAATAAATTGTATTGTCATTTATGACATCATCATCAATGTCTTTTGAAAATTTTTTTGTCATTGTGACTAAGGACTACCGTAAATGCTCGAATAAGCGACGTGGCGCTTATAAAATTCTTTGAGACTTCAGTGCGGCAATTATTCGAGCATTTACGATAGATGCCAACATCATTTGAGCACCTGTGAATACTGTCATGGTGGGTCTTAAGCCTTAAATTGATCGAGTTCCTAGTCCACATATCAAGCGCTCTGAGCATCTTACATTAGATGGATATGTGCGCTATATAAAACTACACTATTATTATTATTATTATTATTATTATTAAATTGCTAGGGAACGGTGCAGTGGTGTTTGGTTTCATCTGGATTGTTTTATTTTATTTTCTCACTTTCCAGTTTTCTTCTGTTAGATATATTTCAGTGCTATAGTATATTAGTAAAAAATACAAAAAAACAAAAACAAAAAGCGCTCCGATCTGAATGGCGCTATATAAATGTTTTAATGTATATAGACATGTATGGATGTTGGATACTCTGAAACTAATTCATTATAATTTTCAACTAAATTTGCATATTTACAAAAGTTTGTGTATTCTTCATGTTGTATTTTTTTTCTTTGTTGGTAATTATGTATTATTTTGTATTTTGTCAAACTCCCTTTTTGCCTTAGAAAAATCAGTTATACAACATATAAAAAATATTTTTCCCCTCGTATTTTTCCCCTCCGAAGCCTAGGTTTAACAACTTTGTGACATTTGGTTTGCATCTGATCTCTATTACGAGATGGTGGTGAGACTGATGAGGTTGTGACATTTGGTTGGTAACTGAACTCTATTATGAGATTTGGTTGGTACCTGAACTCTATTATGGGATGGTGATGAGGATTGTGACATTTGGTTGGTACCTGATCTCTAGTAATGAGATGATGGTGAGAATGATAAGGATTGTGACATTTAGTTGGTACCTGAACTCTATTATGAGAGGGTGATGAGAATGATGAGGATTGTGACATTTGGTTGGTACCTGATCTCTATTATGAGATGGTGATGAGAATGATGAGGATTGTGACATTTGGTTGGTAAATGATCTCTAGTATGAGGTGGTGGTGAGAATGATAAGGATTGTGACATTTGGTTGGTACCTGATCGCTAATATGAGGTGGTGGTGAGAATGATAAGGATCGTGACATTTGGTTGGTACCTGATCTCTAGTATGAGGTGGTGGTGAGAATGATAAGGATTGTGACATTTGGTTGGTACCTGAACTCTATTGTGAGATGGTGATGAGAATGATGAGGATTGTGACATTTGGTTGGTACTTGATCTCTAGTTTGAGATGGTGGTGAGAATGATATTGATAAGGATTGTGACATTTGGTTGGTAAATGATCTCTATTATGAGATGGTGATGAGAATGATGAGGATTGTGATATTTGGTTGGTAAATGATCTCTAGTATGAGATGGTGATGAGAATGATGAGGATTGGGACATTTGGTTGGTAACTGATCTCTAGTATGAGGTGGTGGTGAGAATGATAAGGATTGTGACATTTGGTTGGTACCTGATCTCTAGTATGAGAGGGTGGTGAGAATGATATGGATTGTGACAACTGATCCCTAGTGTGTGATATATGATGAGAAAGATGAGGATTGTACCTGATCACCAGTGTGAGATGATGGTGAGAGTGATTGGAGTGACATTTGTTGGTATCTGATCCCTAGTGTGAAATGATGATGATTATGAAATTGGTTGGTACCTTATCCCTTGTTTGAAATTATAGTGAGAATGATGATGATTGTGACATTTTGTTGGTACCTGATTCCTAGTGTCAGATGATGATGAGAATGAGGATTGTGACATTTAGTTGGCAACTAGGCTAAACCCATAGATGAACTTTTTTTATTGTAAAATCTTGACCAATATTTTACTTGTGTAAAGGGAGATTATTAATCGAAATAGACCATCTGCAGGTACCTTAAATTAATATAATCATGAGTCAGTAGAGTTTCTGAGATTGTCCCTATACTTACAGTATTAGAATCATGGCTAAGCTGTACAGTGAGTCTTTCAGACAAATTTAATGACATTTCAAATCATTTCAACTACTTTACGTTTCTTTTCACAATCTACCTCTGATTTGTTAAGGCCCTTTATGGATTTCCTAATTTCTTTCACTTTTTTAATTATAGAGTTTTTGTTTATTATTAATATTTTTTATTTAACTTGAATATATTTTGTTATTGTATTAATCTTAATACTATCATATTATTAATATAAAATAAATATGGTCCAATTTTCTGGTACAGGACAAAGCATATCATGGAATGAAATATAGCCAAGGAATGGTTTAATTTAATGGAAAGGGTGTTGCTTGCTCATATATAACATTTTGAAATGATAAGATGAATAAAATGATATTTTGTAATATAACAATAGATTTTTACTCTTTATTCGTAATTTTCTCAATAATTAAATACCATTATCTAATGTCTAGATATTTGTTATATGACTAGAAATGTGGTATGTACATAATAAAGTTGTTATGTATTGTATTTAAATATATTTTTCACAGCTTTTAAAATAGAAATATGATATTTGTTATATGGCTAGAAATGTGGTATGTACATAATAAAGTTGTTATGTATTGTATTTAAATATATTTTTCACAGCTTTTAAAATAGAAATATGATACTTTTTATATGGCTAGAAATGTGGTATGTACATAATAAAGTTGTTATATTGTATTTAAATATATTTTTCACAGCTTTTAAAATAGAAATATGATATTGTTGCAGTTGCAGTCTTTCTAACAACAGTGGGTTTCCTGCTTTTGTGACTCTCAGGCAGTGATGACAAAATGAATAAATAATAATTCATAACTCATTTGTTTTTTAAATATCCATCTTCGCTCTATATTATTATACTAAACTAAGTTTTAATATGTTATTTAGAAAATTGAACCACTATAGTAAATGCTACTTTGTACACCAGTTAGAAGAACTATAAATAAATATGATTAACATAGCAAAGTAATATTTTGTCAGTTGATTAAATGCATTGTTTGCCAAAAAATATTATTAGGTCGAGAGTTGTTCATTTAGCCTAGCATTTAATTCAAATCAGCATTTATTTGACAATTTATAAAGTTTGTTATACTCTTTGTTAGTAGTCATTATTATTATTGTTGATATTGATATGGCGTTGAGATTGTTTGCTTTGTGTGAGTAGGCTGGCCAAACCCAGAAATCAGTGCCGGTATGAAAGCATCATGTAGACAGCATTTGTTTACAAAGAGGAATGATAGCCTTACAATGTTAGTTAAAATAACGCCTGTTTGTTTTTGCAACATTCTTGGGGCTTGGACTAACTTTCTGTTCCTTTGTGAACATGTAAAGCTACACCCAAAGTAAAGGTTCTTGCCATTGATCAACAACAATCACTCCAATTTCCAAAGCTCTGTTCTAAAAAAGTTTTTGGTCAAAAAATGTCCAGTATTTACTTAACAAAATATAGAATGCAAAGTAATAAATAAAGACAAAATATGTTGCAATCCTGACCATCGTCAAAACATACGAAGTCCAGTGGATGATTATATCTGTTCTTATGATGGCACTTGATTGCTGGACAGGATGTTAACCATCACGTGACAACAACTGTATAATGTTTTACATAATTTTCTTTCATACAATATTATTTGATTAGGGTATACATCCTTCATTTCAGACAACTGATGCTTTATAACAAGGAAGGGGGGGGGGGGGGTGGGGGGGTTTTGTTTTGTAGGTAGGGGGGGGGGGGGGGGGTTGAGGTGTTTCAGTTTGTAAGCAACATTATTTGCCAGTTTTTCAATCCAAAATCTAAGAATAAAAAATGCAAGCCGTCTAACTGCCTATCCATAGTACAGTGCAGTATGTGATAGGCCTAAGAATGTTTACATACAGTTTGAATGTTTCTTTTTCTGGATGTGTCCGGAATGTGTTAAATATTTTGAAATGAGATGAGAATGGTTTTAATTACACTGTTGAGTTATCTTAACATGATCAAGTGGAAGTGAGATAGTGTTTTACCTCACCTATGTACTTTTCAATAGAATATTGAACTTCTTGGTGTGGTACTAACAAAATAGCCTGTTGCTATTGAAAAGTGCACATACTAAAGAAAATAAATAAGGCAGTGGCTACTGTTACACCAGTCTTAAGCATTTCCAAAATCTGATTGGATGTTATTATTTTAATCCAATCAAAATTAAGGATTGGTCTAAGACTGGTGTAATAGTACCATTGCCAGTAATTAAAGTAAATGAATTATTTTAATCCAATCAAAATTAAGAATTGGTCTAAGACTGGTGTAATAGTACCACTGCCAGTAATTAAATTAAATGAATTATTTTAATCCAATCAAAATTTAAAAATTAGTCTATGGTGGTAACAGTACCACTGCCAATAATTAAATTCACTTGGATTAAATGTGTGGTACAAATTGGTATTTAATTAATTTATTTTTATTTTTATGATTAAATGATTATTTTGGCTTTTCTATAAGATTGGATAATGTACATTTGATTTTTACATTTTACTTATTTAACACATATTACATATTTATATTTACATATTTATTCACTGGTGAGGGCTGCTAAATAGCTAGAAGTGAGACAGCAGAAAAAGTAATAGGACTGCCGAATATGGGACAGTAGAAGAAAACTTGGACCTTCGCCTCCTTGGATGTTTGTGTATGAAAATGCTCATGATATATCATCAACGTTTATTTTGCATTGCAGGTGTCTGTGAGTAGTGATAGCACTCGGTTGTCAAGCACGCCTATACAGCAGCATGACGACAACAGTAATGATGGGCTAATACTCATTGAAGATGTTGCTACTCTCAGGAATATTGATGGTTTGTCAATTTTATTTCTAGACATTCTCTACAATATAATTCTCTTATTTTAACCTCTAATATTGACATTTTTCACAATAGTTTGTCTATATTTCGTTCTATTATTATTAATCATTTGAATAGGTGAGATTTTTGTACTCTTTCGTCTGTATATTTTATATATAAAAATTTTATATATTTTACCAGCCTGTTAGTGGCGATGATTCGCTGTTGGTCTGTTGAAATAAATAAATAAATAAATTTTGTTATTCTAAATGATAAATTTGATTGTGGATTTATACAGGCTGTGTGCATAAACCATTTAAATAAAATAGTATAGAACTAGAAAAAATTGAAATATAAACTATAAAAAAAATATATGATAAACAATTAAAATATAAGGCCAACACTTTTGATATTGAACACCAACCATTTTGAAATCAATTTATATTTCAAGCGGTCTTAGGCCCAAAGGTGAATATCTTCATTTTGCTGTATCAGATATAAAATATATTTCTACACTGGTAGTTCATAATTTGCTGAAATCATCTTGACATCAAAATTTTGACTATGAAGAATATACAATATAAAAATTATATAACAGGCCAATGCTTTTTGAAACTATAGTACCAACTTTTTTGAATTAATATATTTTAGACCCAAAAGACCATATCTTGTTGTGTCATATTTCACAGTGGAAGTCTGTAATCACTGAATGATATTAACATCAAAATATTGACTGAATTTAAAAGATTTTATAGCTTATCAATATGTAAATTCATACTATTCTTAGATTTATCACTATCATTTTTTTCATTATGTCAATATTATTGTTTTGATCATCACATTAATCGTATTATGTAATCAGTATTGGATTAATTTTAGCCTTCCCTAACTTGAGAATGTAAGATCAGAGATTCTTCATTCTTACACATATCCCAAATAGTTAACTTAATTATGTGGCTAATAAATGATGTGAATCTTATAGTTAGTGCTATAGTGTCAAGGTTAATATCAATAATGTGTTAGCAATATACCCCCTTGTAATTCAAGCAATATCAGCAATTCGTTAGTCTACCAATCAAATTGCAAGGCAGATGAAATTCCTCAAAGGCAGCTCTCATATCCAAAAAAACATAAGTAACTGGTGTAAGATTCATGGGGTCATTTGCGAGCTACTATTTTAAGGTAATGAATCCAGCTCTATTGCCTATTGGTCAGACAGAGCGACTCCAGCACAATCGCCACCTGGGCTTGCTACTGAAAATGACTAGGCTAGGCTGTCACAAGTCCCACAACTTTCTTTCTGCTACTCATACCACTAGTTACACTAGCAACATTCTGGCTGGGTGGTCTTGCATATTCCAACTCATTTTTTTTAAAATTTAAATATGTACCAATAAATTTCAGTTGATTTGTCATAAAATTGGTTTTAAAAATTCTTTACATAATCATACTTGATACCATTAATTTTGTAAATTATTTTTAATAAATAAATTACTATGGCTTACAGTCAGTGCAAACGCTTAACCATCAAGCCATAGCTTATGTTTGCAAGAAAGAATAAAATTGAATACTAAAACAAATTTTGAGTGGTTGGCACTAAAAAGAATAGACATACCAAGATTATTCTCACACCAATGGTAAAACTGGTGAAAATCCAGTCTATTTCTCATAAATGTGAAAATTATTAATATATTAAAGAATTGACCAAGGTATTAAACACATCACTGCCAAACTTGAGGAATAATGTGGCTGCATTTTTAGGGAAACATACCTTCACTCAACATATTGATCTCTGAAGTTGAGAAGTTGCTGACCCAGGGAACAATGGACACATTTCTAAACATTCTTAGTGTAATGTTTCCTGTGCTAACATTTTGTTTGACATTATCTTGTTACATGCATAATCATACAAGTTTTTTTTTTGCAGGGTCTCCAACTGCAAAGAGAGGAAGGGGCAGGCCACGTACCAAACCTACTACCACAAAGAAGTTTCCAGGTAGGCCGGGTAGGCCTAGGAAAGGCACGACAGGAAGTGCAGCTGCAATGGCAGCTGCATTAGCTGGAGCAGCAGCGGGTCAAGCTGCGGCATACGCTGCTTATGGATTCAGTTTTATGGGTAAGTTGTAAAGCATTTTATCTTTAGGTAAAGATGATAGAAATGCCTTTCTTACATGTAATTGGCCATCCATTTTGCTAACATAACACATTATGTCGACATGACAAGAACTGAATGGTTACTAAACTAGGAGACCATCTCCTTGTCTTTTATGAATAGTGTATCAAGTCCATTTTTCTTTTCAATGGAATCAGAGTTGTCTCTTACCCAAATACGCAAGTAAAAAAGCATTTTCAAACCAAGGAAATTTACAATGCAAAGCCTAACTTCCCTTTTCTCTGTACCACCATGCTCTCTTCTTTTTTTATATGCTGTGGTGTCATCTTAATCTGTGTTCAGTCCGTAATACCAATTGTTATGTTTTTCCCTCGCTAACAATAGTTTCTTACTGTACTCACTGAAGTAAATTTTGTTATGATGTTTGATGATTTTCGTGACTAGGCCATCAGGTATGATTTATAATCGATGCAATAATTAGTGATTACAGTATTAATATACTTGTCAATGGCATTACATTTTTAACATGTTGGCTGCCAAGCTTTTTTGTTGCGCATATGCCAAGGCATAGAGTTTGCCCCCATTATGAAAATCCTTCCCATCAACTGCAATGAAATACTGGTACTTATTTTTAGATAATTCTTTCTGGGTTTCGTCCCTAAACCGCCAGTGCAAGAATTTGTGTTCTGGGAACCACTGCCAGTGAGTTTACAATGCAATACAAATTTTTATGTTGAGACAGGTTTAGGCAAAACCTGTCGGTCATGAACTCGCGTCACTTGCAGCGAACATGTTAGAAAATGATTGCATTTGCTGATTAGATTGTTTTCGGAACGACTGTGTTTGATGGTCGGTATCATTTGTCGTCAAGTTCAAAGAACTGTTGTTTGTTAATGATGTCTACTTCCACTTTTGAATCAATATGAGATTAAAACAAAGTGAGAATAATTTTGCAAACATGAATTGGTAATTTAATTGCTTTCAGACAGAAAATGTGTAGTATAAGATGAAATATATTTAAAATAGATTTTGTAGCCTTAGAAATCACTACCATTATGAATTACTTGTATTTCTTGGAATAGGTCTTCATGATAAAGAATTATTCTTCTTTCTTTTCTCAATTGTTCCCAATAATATTGTGTGGGAAGGTTTGTATTGTGTGTGGGAGGATGTTTGAAACTTCTTTTCAATTCAATTTAAATCACACTTTTTCCATATTAGGAACTATAATGAAATCCGCAGCTAAATTAGTATTTGCCCTCTTTTTTGTGGTTCCCAGAAATATGGTTGCAACCTGCTTCAGCACTAGTCAATGGTGGATTCAAGGGGGTACAACCGGGCCGTTCCCCCTAATATTTTTTTTAATTATTTGAAAAATGAGAAAAAAAGAAATTTATAGTAAAAGTCTGAGAGTGCCATTTCCAGCGATCTACAGGTGTCATAATCATAAATTGTCTTACCTCAGCCCCACCTCCACTAATGGTGGTCTAGACCCTATGAAAGTACTTCCCTGTGGTCCCTCTATTTGGAACTGAATCCACCACTGCAAGATATTGACAACTCCTTGAGTTGCATGTGAAATTTAACAGTGGTATATATACTGACATAAAGTAGGCCTATCACCACTGTGATTTTCTATCATGCAATACATCATTTATGAAGAATATAACTATAGTGAATTTAACATCATTACAGAATTGTCATTAGCTCAAAGCATAAAATAGCAAAACTATTGGTTTTGAGTGTGTGAAAGTGTGGACGTGTGCAGAACATGTTAACCGTAAAAGGACAAGCTTTAGTAGTAGTACAAGCCATTATCTTCTAAATATGTGCAAAGTAGAAGGAACCAACCCTGTAAGAATTTCTACACGACTCGATTTTTTAGGTAATAGCCGGAAAGTTCATGTATACTCTGCTGTAGTAGCATTTCTGAGGAGTCATTGGAACCCCAATAAGCTTAGTAGACATATACAATGATGTTGTAAATTGAAGGCGAAAATAAAAATATATTCTTGTTAACTGAAATACAAGCCTCAAACGATCAAAGACACGACGACAGCGGATCGATGAATTAGCATCAAAATTTAGTATACATGACATAGAGGTAGAGCCATTAATAGCGATTAAGCCAACATTAGTTAATTTTGCAATAATGTTTTGTTGCATTTCTCAAGTTTATTTGTCATATATATGTTAATTTAATTAGGCAACAATGTTGCCTAATATAGTACGGTACTTATTTCATTATCAAACAAAGCTTGGAGTGGCATGGTATTCTAGACAATACCATCAGTCCCACATTAATAAGGAATTTATGGCGCAAAAACAAAGCCTTGGTTCTACAAACTAATTTTTTCCAGAGAATTAAAATTTATATTGCAACTGATTCTGAAAGACTAAAATTCATTTATTTCAAGGTGCTTAGAATTTTATAATCCTCTATGTTTATCTGTAATCCATGGTATATAGATTTTCTCATTATGTTTTGTTGTATTCCAACAGAGTTTTCAAAATGGATTCTGCATTGCAAATTCTTTATTAGCTTGAACATTATTATTGATAATATTGATTTATGAAAATAAAATTTAGAATTTCAAAAAATTGTGCATCATCATATCATCATGTGATATAATGCTTAGTTTCTACCAGCTTACAAAACTGCTAGTCAAATATCCAGGTGTTTGGCAAATAGCCACATTCTCTGGTAAGTCATGTATAAAATTCTTAATTACAGTATGTAATTAAAATCTAACAGGTCTACATGGATTAGTAGCTTAGAATATCAATATGGTATCATAGATCTTAATTTAAATCCCATAAATTGTTAATTTTGCCTACAATTATATGTTAGAGTTTTCAAAAGTTGTAAACAAAATATCAATTCCAACCATATACTCAATAAAATAATTTTAATTGCTGTCTTTCCACTGTGCATATCTTGCAGCGAAAGGTAAATTAATTTATCGTTTTAGGACAGGAAGCAATAACTTGAAATTAGTGAAAGTGGTTTTTGCTGAAGTGGTTTTATGTTGCAGATAATTTTTTTAAACAAATACTCTAAATTGTTTATGGAATTGTGTACCATAAATGTGTGAATATAACCACAGGCATGTCAGAACAAGGGTTTTAATTGTACAATTAAAATTCCTTGGTCAGCAAATTGGTTTAAAACAGTGTATAAGCCAACTAGAATATAACCGGTTTTATAAGCTGAGCATAATCTATTAAAATGTCAAATGGAATAGCGGATTAGCTTAGTCGGCTAATCTGGTGGTAGCCACTGTGTGTGCTCTGAAACGTGAAGATCTCTAGGTCCCCGGTTCAATTCCCATCGCTGCCTCTCCTTGTGTTTCAGCTAGAGGGCTGAAATATAAGTTAAAATAGCGGACCTGTCTTTCGGATGAGACGTTTAAGCCGTTGGTCCTGTGTGCATTATGGCCCATGTGCATGTTAAAGAACGCAGTACGCTTTTCGGAAAAGAGTAGAGGATTGTCTCCCGGTGTACTGTCTAATCACCACCAGAAAGACCCCACTGGAAATACAGTAAGTCTTCTTCTAGACTTTCGTGGGCTATCCTTGGTGTTTACACTGAATAAATCCAATCCAATCGATGGA